CCACTCCTTGGTATATTCCTGAAAGAATTAAAGACAGTACATTTCAGTGATACAGTACATGCATACCCATGTTTATAGCAGTACAATCACAATAGCTAAACTGTGGAAACAGCCTGGATACCTCTCAACAGATGAATGGATATATAACGTGATATATATATATATATATATATATATATATATATATATATATATTTTTTTTTTTTCCTTTTTAGCCATAAAGAAGGAAATCATGTCATTTATAGGAAAATGGATAGAGCTGGAGACTATCATGTTAAGTGAAATAAGCCAGCCTTAGTTAAAAATCATGTGCTTTCTCTTACATTAGAAATCTAAAATTAAGCAAATATAAAAGCTAAGGAGAGGTCAGGAAACTTGAAGGTATTTTCCAGTGATGGGGAAGGGTATTAGAGGGAAGAGGGGATAATAGGAATGAAAATAATCAAAATATGCTCCATGCATGGACTAATGTGCTACAAATTTCATATAATCTTGCTTTATCACATCAGAAATAAAGTAAACTTTGCCAAGATAACATTTGCTGCTCATATGAATCTAATTTTTCTACATTAAAATGAGAAAGCTACCCAACAATAGAATTGTAATTCCTGTGACTACAAATCTGTGTACACATCTTGCCCATACTTTGGTCTCTCAATTCCTTGGCATCTTCTTCTCCAAAGACCTGCATCCTTTATCCTACCTCAGTAACTTGTTCCCATGGTTCCTTCCATCCTTCCCTTCCTTGTTTCTTCCTTTAAGTTGCCGAGACTATCCTTGAACTTGCTCTGCCTCCTGAGTAACAGGTGTGTATGACTGTGCCCAGCTCTATGGTTATTTCTCAGAGTTTGCAGCCACTTGGAATATTTCTAAGCATAGTTTTAAGCCAGTATTCTGGGAGCAAAATTATTAAGCATTTTAGGTTTTCGTGAGAATAAGGGTTTCTACTGATATTCAGTGAGCTGGGGCCAAGGCTACCAAATGTACCGCAATGTAGCCAGTGTTCATGTGATGAAAAACAGTCCTACTCAAAATGCCAGCAACACCCAGACTGTCTTAGTAACTGCAGCCTCTACTAATTCAATTCAAACAGCCCGTTCTTCTATCTCATCTTCATATCTATCTTCCCTTGTTAATATATTTTGAATCCCATGGTTATAATCATTCCCTGCTGCATGCACATACCCTTAACTCCCTGGCCTCTAATGAACTTCACCCTGATCCATTCTCTGCCTCCCTGTGACGACAAAATTGAAAACACGTGGAGAAACACACTGCCATTCTTAGCACTCTCACTAAACTCACAACTCCCAGCCCAAGTGGGCTCTTACTCTACCTGGCAACTCAGCTCCACCTCTCAAGTCCTGTCAGTCTACTATTATTCTGTGACTATTTTACTCCTTTTCTTCTCTCTTGAAACTTCAGCACTTTTTCCTTTTCTCACTTTCAAGTACTGATCTTGTTTTCCCAGAAACCAGAAGCAATCACAAGAACTTTTATAAGCTCTCATCCCAAGTGTCCAGTTGTCTGTATTTGAGCCTAAGTACTTTGCAGCCTTCTCTCCTGTTTAGTGACTAAACTAGGGTAACCCTCCCTACGTGCCCTAGATCTTATCCCTCTTTGCCTTGTAAAAGATACTTCAACAATTTTTCTTACAATAACATTTTGTAGTAATTCCTCACTTGGATCATTCTTTCCAATTTATATACAACATATTCTCCCATTAACGACAAAAAAAAGCTTCTTTTGATATTCTATTCCAAACTATTACTGTAAATTTTTTGAAAAGTTCAGTATTTAGCCTTGTAAAATATCAGAAATCATTAGAAAGCTACTTTAATTAAGATAAAGTAACAGAGTTGAGTCCAGACAGCCACACAGACACATGGCTGATGGCAACGCAGATCAGAGACAAAAGGTTCAATACATGGTGCTTGTTCAAATGGTTATGCTTACACAAGACAGAAAAATGCTAACCACAGAAAGAAGAGTTTCAAACAGTTGACTATAATCAAATTAAGAAAGCACATTTTCTAAAAGGCTAAGACAGAAATTGAAAGGACAAACTTGGAGAAAATATCTGCAAGGCATATGAAAATCCACATTTCTTATACTCCAGGAAATACAAAGCCCTACAAATTGATAAAGAAAATCCAACAAAAAAATGAACAAAAATCCTCAAACAAGTATTGTACAGAAAGGAAACACAGTGATCAATAAATGTAAAAAGAAGTTCAAACTTATCATTAATCAGAGAATCATAAATTAACATTATAATAACCATATTACACCCGTTTGGCAATAAAATAAAGTCTGACAATGCCAACTTAATTTCAAGGAATTCTTAAATATTGTTGGTAGGATTGTAAATTGACCCAATCACTTAAAATAATTTCCTATCTTGTAAAGGTAAAACCCCCAAACCCAAGACTTAGCATTTTCAATTCTAGTTACATACTCTAAGGCAACTCTTGCACATGTGTAGTAGGAGATGAAATACGGGTGCTTACAGCAATACAGTTCTTAGCTGTGAACAACTGAAAACAACCCTAATGCTCATCAGAAGGACACTGGATAAATAAGTTGTGGTATTCTCACAGAGCTGAATGTCAAAAAACTACTGCTACATATAATAATATGAAAGAATCTTAAAAGCACAGTCTTAAGTAAATGTTATCATTTTTTAAGAAATTAAAAACTTGGGGGCTGGGGATTTAGCTCAGCGGCATAAGCGCCTGCCTGGTAAGCAGGCAGTCGTGAGTTTGATCCCTGGTACCGATAAAAATGAAAAAGACAAAAACAAAAAAAAGAAATTAAAAACTCAGCAAAATTGTTTAAACTATATATATATATATATATATATATATATATATATTTTTTTTTTTTTTTTTTTTTTTGAGACAAGGTCTTGCTGCGTAATCCATGTTAGTTTTAAACTGACTGTGTAGCCCAGGTTGGCCTCAAACTTGTGATGATCCTTTTGCCTCAGCCTCCTGAGTGTGGAATTACAGGCATATACCACTTGTCCATCTAACAATATATTGTTTAGCTAGGTATAAATGTTTGTTGTAAGCTAAAGACTACAATGAAAGAAATAAATACATTAGTGCTCATCTCTGGGCTGAAGAAGATGGAACTGGGAAGAACCTGTAAATAGATTCAAGTTAATTGCTATTTTTTAGTTTTGGGGTAGAGTGACAGAGTCACTAGTATTCATTATAATAATACTACACTAACTTTCTATATTGTATATATGCATTCTTTTGTATGCAGCAGGTATTAAAAACAGGCTAAAAATAAAAAAGATCATTGATTTTTATCACCATGAGCCAATCTTTTCAGCCTTAGTTTCTTTAGGTAAAAATGAAGATAATAACTGCTCCTTACCTCCTGGAATCTCTGTAATAAAAAATTAAGTGGCACATAGGCTGCTGTTGCTATCTAGTAGCAACTACTATTTTCTGAAGTGCTTTCAAAGCATAAAGTAGAAAAATGAATATGCAATGCAAGAAGTACAAAGTGGGAAGGCATAACATACCTCTTAAGGTTGAAACCCTGGAGTGGGTAAGATGGACACAGGAATTTTCAGGAGACAAGTGTGCCAAGACAGACTGAAGAAAGGAACTCCAGAAAGAGACTGAGAACAGTGAGAGAAAGCAAACTGTTGAAGAAAAGCGAGGATAAAACTGCATGTGGTGCTAATGCTACTGAGAAAAGTGGAGGTTAAAGGAGACAGTAGGCTTGGCAATGGGCACTGCTACAGCAGGGTCAATGAACGGGTTAAAGAAGAAACAAGAGTGTAATGGGCTTACTCATGAGTAGTAGGTGAGGAAATGAAGGCCTGGAAAAAACAGAGCTCTTTTAAGAAGTTCAGAGATTAAAAACAAAACAAAACAAAAAAAAGGTAAAAGGAGTGAGCTGTATGGTGGATGGGACCAGCACCAGGTAAAGAGACTTGACTGGTTACAGGAAGAAGGGAAGGAACCAAGGGGGGAGAAGTCAACCATACAGGAGAGAAAGGGGGACAAGTGACTTGGCATCTTGGAGCAAGAGAAGGTGGTATTCTGGACTGTGGCAAAAGAAAAGTACAGATCACTCAGGTAGTCGTTAAAAGGCAGATTGTCTAATTCAGAGTTCGCTTTGGAGTTGTGCTTAAGATCAGGCATTTCTAGCATGCTCCAGCACCAAGTGGCAATCAGGCTACCTGTCCACAGATCATACTCTGAGGAGTCAACTTCTCCTCTGTCACAGGATGTGCATCCAGAAATAAGATTAGTAGAAAAGGGAGAGATATTGTGGGAGTTTTTGCAACATGAAACTACCTGGGATGAAGACAGCAGTGGGATAAAAGGAAAACCAGGCAAACCAACTCTTCAAGCTCTCAGTGTTGTGAGCAGTGTCTGTCCCTGGGAAGGCTCGGGTAGGACTGAGATGAGCTACTGGAGAGATGCCAGGAGGGGGAGACTAGGTGGAAGACAGTAAGGCTAAGCTGGGTGAGAGAAAGGGAAGAGTTAGAACCACAATGCTTTGAGAGTAATTATAGATAACGGGAGTGAAAAAGTTGAGAAGTAAATAGAAGTGATTTGAATAGGCAAGAACTCAGATGAAATTAGTTTAGCTGAAGTATAATAGTATATTTCACAGGTTGCTGACACCATAAAGAAAATGCCCAGGTGGAAAATCTGCCTTGGTTAACCACTTTTACAAGTGTGGACTTACCATGTTGAAGTTAAAAGGTTAACATGTTATTTTAAAAAAGAATAAATGTGTTCAGAGTTCTGCATGGAAAATATAATCCTCACTTAGCTCTGTTTTGTTTTTAGGCTCTAAGCATTCAATTGCTTATTCAAATTTGTGAGATGATGTACACACCAAGCTGCGAATGGGTCTCTGGCTCCCTGAGGTAACATTTACTAATGCTGAGATATGGACATAGATTCTGAAGCAAGACGTGCTCTGCATTAACACAGGTAAGTGAGACCACATGCATACATCCTTACCCCTTCGCTGGTTTTCTGCAGGTCTGAAGCTGTGTTTCTGGTGTCATTGCCGGGATCTCCACCTTCAGAACTGCTTTTGTTTTCCTCTTCTTTGCAGTCTTTATCATCTTCATCGCCTGGAGATTTCCGGGATTGTTTAGAGGATTTCTAAATGTTTAGACAAGTTGAAAATTACAGTCAAAAGCACAAAATCCAAGCATAAGTAAGAGACGCAGAAGTAGTGGGCTGTCTATCTTCTTTGCTATACACAGATACAACGTGCAGTGTGCTAAGGCTGAGCTAGGTGACACTGGACAAATTACTTCACCTCACGGGCCTCCGCTTAACCAGCTAAAAAGGAAGTAGAGGTGGATTAGATGACCTCTTACTTCTTTTCAGAAGTGTGGTATGAATGGTGGAAAATAAAGATTCATGTACCCACAACAGTCAATGGATAAATATAGCTGTGTGTACAGCACCGTAGGAAGGTCACAGAACTGCAAGGCACCTTACAGGTCATCCCGTCCTTCCCCTTCATTTTATTGTAGTGGAAATCCAGAGAAGTGAGGTGAACGTTCCAAGACAATATATGGACATTCATGTTGGAACATCTGTTGAAGTTTCCTGGTTAAAGCATACATGGAAATATTTTGACAAAACTTTTATATCATTGTGATATGAATCAACTTTAATCTTGTAAATTATGATAGCTACTTAAGAACCCCAGGCTACACTGGTAAACCAGTCCTTTCTTCTTGTCACCTTGCATTTGAAATCAAGATGAACTCTAGAGGAAGATGAAAATAAAGTTACAGTTCAAGGAAGGGTTGCTCAGCAGAATAGCACTAATATGATAAAAAGCTGCCTCCAACCATGCACCTTACTTAAGATAGTAAAATGCAGCATTTTTCTTTAAGATATTTTAAGAATCTTCTTCTTTAAGATATTTTAAGAATCTTTTTTTTTGTCTTTTTCTTTTTTATCGCTAGCGGGGATTGAACTCACGACTGCCTGCTTGCAAGGCAGGTGCTTATGCCGCTGAGCTAAATCCCCAGCCCCCAATTTTAAGAATCTTAAGCACACTTCAAATACGTGGCAAGGCAAAACTTGTGTAGGCAAGTCTGGTCTCCAGAAATGAATTAGCAAATTAAAGCTTCCTCAGACAATCAATTTTTAAAAATGCAATTTCCAAAGAGAAAATATCTTCTAAGTTTGTGACAATATATAATCAAACTGCTTCCATTTTACTCAATTAAAACTACCAACCAAGCCCAAAATGTCACTTTAAAATGCAGTCATTTTTAGATAAAGGGAAAATAAAGATTTAATAATCCAAATATAGAATGTCTACAGTTAAAAACAAAGTACGAAATTGGAAAAATGAAGTGCTTCACACAATAATTCTTATGTAACAGTCCTAAAATTTATGTTTGTAAAGATTATTTCTGAGTTACCTTACAGCTGAGTTTCTAATATTACAGTTGGTATACACAGACTAGAATGAGAGCATTACTACATTTCCAGGAATGATCACAATATTTATTATTCTACTAAGAAACTGGGATGCCAAATTCTAAACTGGCAGAGTTTTTGAGATCACAGAATTCTTCAAACTGTTTTTTAAAAAATCAATTTTAAATAAATAGAAATTAGTATGATCTTAAATACCCTGTTCATTCAATGGTGCTATGTTTGTTCATTGGTGTTTTAGCTTAACGTTTAGTTTGCTTTGACACTGATCTGTCTTACTATACATACAAATAATTTATATGAAAAATATTTTTGAACAATAATTTTCTGTATCTCAAATCTGAATCATTCATACTCTTACTGCTAAAGGGATATATAACTACCCTCAAACCTGCTAGACTGACTCTTCGTTGTGATTACTGAGCTTTTTTAAATTTTTAAATATGTTCTCACTGACTTGAACCACCAGTCGTACATGTATGACTGTCCCATCAGGTAGCCTGTACCACCCAATGGGACTGTCCCATGCTGCATGAGGGACAGATATGCATGTACTACCAATAGTTCAGAGCTTCCATGCAGTGAGCAATTGAATTATGGCTCCATCATGAACCTGTTAATAGAAAAACAAATTTAATGAGGTAGAGGATTTGGGACCTTTCCTCTTCACCTGAGATGTTTTTAAAAAGTCTGTAAACTAGTATTTTTTAATGCAAAGGAAGACCTTTATGTTAAGAGAGAGATGTACAAAAAAAAATCAGCACACTCAATAAAAAGTAAAATATTTAGGAAGTTAAAAAACCAATAGAGTTATGCTAGGTAAATGATCCTCTATGTGTCGTTCTCAGATCAGCAGCATCAGCCTCACTTGGAACTTTGATTCTCAGACTCGTTGGCTTCACAGTTTGTGCCCAGAAGACAGGCAGGCAAGTGCGAGGACCTCCAGGTGACTGGGGATAAAATGGAGATCTTCATACCAAGCCAGGGTGCTCTTCAGTGAAAAGTAAACTAGAAAAACCAAACAAACAACAAAAAAAAACCTATCCAATGAAGACAGATTGCAAGAAAAATGATCTGTCTTGGCTCTGCCTCTGAGAGAAGAAATCAAAAAGGCTCTCCTAAAAGCTACAAGGAGACCTTCACATAGGAAGGAGTTCAGTCACTCTATCTTATCCAAAAAATGACAGTGGTACTGCGGTTCAGGAATTTAATTCTTTCCACAATGTTGATGTTGTAGGGAAATTTAATTTGGTTCTTGTTCAGTTTGCTTATGACCAGAATTATGGAGAGAACTGAGAATAGGAAGTCATGTTCTGGGTACTTGCCTAACATGTATGAGGACCTGAGTTCAATCCCCAGCCCTAATAAAAAGGTCCCAAGTGATCATGGAGGTTATGATCTTGAAAGAAAACAAAAGAAATGATTCTTTAAAGTAGACAAGTCTTAGTAAGTGAAATATGTGTTTACTCCTTCACTTTGATAATGACATTTAACATTATGTAACCACAAGCCAAAAATCTAGGTAAGCTTAGATAATTCAGGGATACACAACACATTTACATGGGGCTGAGCAGGCAATCATAAATAAATCAATTCATATAAGTGTTTAAGTGAAGCCCAAAACGGGAAAAGAAATGTAGCTTAGATGTAATTGCAAAAGATAGTCTGGCAGAGAAAATTCTAATTATTCTGTTGTCATTTGTAAACTTTATATGCCTATCAAAGGCAATCCCATGGTTTTCATTGGGTGCATAGAAAAAATGCTGCAGTCACACAGTTTTTTTTTTTTTTTTTTTTTTTGTCTTTTTTCTTTTTATCTGTACCGGGGATCGAACTCGTGACTGCCTGCTTGCAAGGCAGGCGCTTATGCCGCTGAGCTAAATCCCCAGCCCCAGTCACACAGTTTTATCTGCATACCAGCACATTAGATTATAATTTATAGACTGTCAAAATAAAATTTTAAAAGTTAGATAACTTGTTTTTAAGAAGTTTCCTAAGTACATCCAGACACTAAATATAAGTAGAAGTAACTTCTTTAAGTATTTAGCTGTGTGACAGATCAGATAAAAACTTGAACCAACCAATCTTTGGTCTTCAAAGATTCATTTATCTTACTTCAGTTTCTAAAAAGTGAACAATTTTCATAATCTCAGTCTTTTCAATTGCATTTCTGAACTGAAATCTAGTCTTTCAATTTGTAAATCTAGTACCATGTTGTTTAAAACTTTACTGGGACCCTGGAATAAAATCTAGACTTACTAGTATGGCCTATCGGTCTACTGCTTCTCCTCTGTGATCATGGTTCTCCAGTGACGCCTGCCTTCTTTCAATTTAGGGACACGCCAAACATTTTCCTTCCATAGTTTGCAGCTGTTTGTTTCTTTTTGCCACACAAACTTCCTATGGAAGGTCCCTCCATACCCTTCTCTCAGATCTCAGTATAAGTTTGGCCTTTTCAGAAGGGCCTGGCTCCGCTCTCCCATTCCTTTATTTCACAGCACTTTCACAATTTATGGTTATTTATTAGTTCCTTGTTTACTGTGGGCCCCCTCTCATACTGTTAAGAGGAGAGGGCTAGAGATGGATTTGCTCACTACTATAGTTCAGAGTCTGTTGTAGACTAAGTAATCAGGAAATGTAAGAACTGAGAAAACAGTCAAAGCACATTCTCTGAAGCAGAGAGACAAGAATCTGTTACATACATATATGGTACACAGAGTCTTGCATCATACTGTCCTCTTTTTTTCTAAATTCTTTAGATCTGGAGGTTATTGTAGGGGGCACAAATACTTATATAGTCTATCTTTACATAAAGATAAAGATCAGTCTTCCTCCAACTAACAAGGTGGTATTTTCAGGACCAAGTCAGCCTTTAAGAGTTGATAACCAGATGGCTTCAACATCTAAGATTACCTGTCTGATTCCCTTTGCTCTACTATTGTCCCTAAAGACAGGGGCTCCACAGAATCTACAGTATATTTCTCTATGTCCAGTTAAAAAAATGAAAATAACCTAAAAATTTTAATGAATATGTATGTAACATTAATAACTACAGGGAGTTTCTCAAGTAACCTTTGAAGTATATGACTTTTTCCGTTTTGAGCCTCCTTTTTCATTCTTTCTTTTGCCTTTTCCATCTTCTTCTACTCTGTCACCTTCTTCCTCACTGCTTGCATCTGCAGTATTTCCGCCTTCTCCCTCAGTTTCTGAAGAGCTCTGTTGCTGAATTGCCTAAGGAAAAAAATCAGCTAATTACATTTTTGAAAAAACAGCAAGGAACACAGGGTGTGAAAATAATCTATTTTAATTTGAAAAGATTTCGTTTATTCTAAAATTTTCAAAGTAAAGGACTGAGAGAGCTGGGCCAGATGACAGATACCTGTAATCCCAGCTATACAGAAGATGACTTCAGCCTAGGAATGCAACACAGTAAGACTCTCTACCCAGTCAATCAGTGGCTGTCAAACTCAACTGTTCAATGACTGCTTGACTTGAATTCTCCTGGGTAAAAGGGTTGCATTTAATTTATACATTTTTTTTTTGTCTTTTTCGTTTTTATTGGTACCAGGGATCGAACTCACGACTGTCTGCTTGCAAGGCAGGCGCTTATGCCGCGGAGCTAAATCCCCAGCCCTGGTTGCATTTAATTTAAAAGGCTACGATAGCCAAAAATAATGCTGACTTCAAAAGGGTAACAGGTAACTATTAGTATAAAGGACATATTACAAAAATATAAAAAAGAGGTAAAATCAATGAATGAGACATAGCAAGTGCCAATGAAGTAAAGCATTACCTGGTAACCAGTAAACTTTACTCCTGGGTTATTTTCTATTTCCCATAATCCTTCATTAAATCCTTTCCGTTTGTTTGACTTTCCAAACTTGTCTTTGTATTCTTTATATGGAAAGAGATCTTTGGGACCTAGAAATGCACTGCAGAGAGATGTTAGAGTTGACATGCTGAACTTAAGACAGAAAATATTTTCATGCTAAATATCAACTGAGGTATTGGAACACAGTAGAGTAAGGAAACTAAATGCATAAAAAACCCTTTGAGTTATACACATGTCACAAGATGATTTAGATACACATTTCAAATCAGAAAGAAACAGATCTCGGTATATGAGCCAGAAACATGGATTACTTTGATCAGCCATTCATTCATTCATTCACTGGTTTTTAAAGACAGGGTCTTGCTTTGTAGTGTAGGCTGGTTCTGAACTCACTATGTAGCCCAGGCTGGCTTCAAACTCAAGGTGATCCTCTGCCTCAGCCTCCTCTGGGATGACAGGTGTGTACCACCATGTCTGGTTTATTAGTGTTTTAAAAAACATTAGGCAAGAAAAAATCCGAAGTGGCAAAGTAAACATAATCTTATCCAATTTAAAACTTATTATACATTAATTATAACAATTAAAAATTATGAGTTAGAATAAATTGGGGGGTTGGCTAACAGACATATGTATTTTTAAAAAATTTTTAAAATTTTTATTTATTTGTTTTTTTTATTGGTACCGGGGATCGAACTCATGACTGCCTGCTTGCAAGGCAGGTGCTTACGCTGCTGAGCTAAATCCCCAGTCCCAGACACATGTATTTGAAACAGAATCTTTAGCATTTTTATATATGACCTTTACCTGGTAAATGACACTATAGAAGCCCAAAGTTTGGCTGATACCCTGAAGCTTAGATTTCAAACTAAGATTTACTTATTTATTCAACAAATAATGATTGAACATCCATAACGTGTCATGCACTACAAGAACAAAAGACAAACATCTCTGCCCTCATCAGGCATATGTTCTAGTGATAAGACAATAAAGCAATTAATAAATAAACATACAGGATGGCTACTAAAAAAAGAAAAAGAAGAAAAGAAGGTGGGAAGGACTGAGGAGAAATTTTACAAGTTTAGATTTGAAGTTCAGAGAGGGGCTCATCTACAAGGAACTAAGGACATAAAGAACTAAAGAAGGCAAAGTCGCTGGCTGCAGGAAGAGCATGCATAAAGGCTTAGTGTTTCTGAGAAATAGAAGAGGCTTTACTCTTACTCTGTACCTTCTGCACTTTTGCCTGCATAAAGGAAGTAACTGTGGGCTAGGCTGCCTACTAGTGCTGTAGGCTATTTGTGCTAGCCAGAGCTTGCATGGACCTTAATAATGGGGAAAGTCAGGGCAAATGGGTTCAATTTAATGATTCCAGGCCTTCTTCTTCTTCTCTTTTTTAAAAGTGAGGATTGAATCCAGGGACTTCTCATTGAGTTACATACCCAACCTTTTTATTTTGAGACAAAATCTTGCAGCTCACTAAGTTGTCCAGCCTGGGATTTTCCTGCCTCCGACTCCCTGAGTGCTGGGGTTATAGGTGTGTGTCACTATGACTGTCTTATCTTGTTTTTAATATCACCTTTATATGTATGAGATGTGTTTCTTACTGCTACAGACACTAGGAAGCATTCTCTTATGAATAAATAATAATTTTTATTATTATTCACCAGGAACAACTTTAATGATTGGTTGTGTTAGCTACTGTCAGAAAGAAACCATGAGTGAATTATTCTAAGACAAGTTTGTGTTTTGATAAATAATACTGCTTTTTTCCTTGGTTACTGATAATGTTATAAATCAATTCTTTCTCAACTGGTTAATTATGCTATATGTTTTCCAAATCTTAAAGGTTAGGGCAGAAAATAAAACTGTTCAACTCTATATGCTCTCAAGATTATTTCTAGCAAAGGCTTCCTTGAAAATTATCCAGACTAAACTTACTGGAGTAATGTTATATAGAGGAGAAGAACCTGAATCTCCAATCATTTATCTGCCTGTGATTTAACAGACTCAACATCACAGTCTAAGGAAAACTGTGGTCCTCCCTGGAGTACACCCTCAGCTGATTTGAACACAGCATTTCTGTTAAGTTCCTCACGTTTCACATTCTATCCCTCTCTTCACTTCATTTAATTAATTTTAATTCACTCAACAGCTATCTTGTAGAATGCCTATATGGGCCATACGCTGGGCTAAGCACTGTGTAAATAAGGTAAGAACACTCATGATCCTTGCCTCACAGAACGGGTCAGTATCATCCTGGATTTAGCTCTCAGAACAGTTTAGCAGAAAACAATATTATCGTGGGGTTTTGGAAGTTCATTCTCTTCCAGATATTTTTAAATCTGTTTCCAGATGATTAAACCAGAAGGAAAAAAACCACATATAAATTGTATCATACCGATCCCTGGTAGAAAGGCTTTATTGAATTCAGTCTTGGCACGATGCCACAGACTTATATTAAGGATGCTATAAGAAACAGGTCTATAAAATCCTTCATACTGTTCACTGGAATGATTGTTGCATTCATCAGTCATCTCTGCCAGGGGGCAAGTTCTTTTAAGCACATTTAAAATTTTCCAGTACCTTACAGAATGCCTAGAAAACAGATGTCTACTAAAGGACCAAAAGCAAACATACAGTATTAGTAGATGGCTGATTTTGTTGCATACAGTGGAAATGTCATGGTTTTGTTCATTGCATCTTGCCTTGTCCCAGAAGTACTTACCAGATCACTTGCAGACAGGCTATCCTAATGAAAAATCCTAACACAATTTATATACATAAAATGGAGGCAGGATTGAGGCAAACACAAAAATATGCAATCACAAAGCTCTCTGTGTTTATTATAAGTAAAACACTGCTTTCTAAAAGCCTTCTAGCTACCTCTCTGAGAAGGAAAACATCGGGAATTACATATACCACAGAGTATATTAGATGCAAATGAGGTTGGGAATGGAGCTTACTAGAAATGAACTTCCCATGCATGCTTGAGGCTGTAGGTTTGATCCTCAGCACTGAAACAAAACAAAATGAACCACCACCCCTCCAAAATGCTAAGACAAGTGATAAGCAAAAACCTACTATTTCTCACATGAAGAAGGAAGTTTGTTTTGGGAACATTCTCCTGGCTTTTTCAAAACAAAACTGAGGAAAGTGTCAAAGTGGCAGAGACAACAAGCTAAGAAAGGGTTCATGATAGGGTCTACTAAAGAGGATGATTCTGAATTTAAAGACTTACTAGTTTTTTAAAAGTTTATAGCTTTCCCCTAGGTTTACAATTTCTATACCATGTTTCCTTTTATACATAACCATATACATTCTTAAATATCAAAGATTGCCAACTGTCTTCCAGCATTTCATTCTCTCTTTCATTCATTCATGGATTACTTCTCCCCAGTTTTTAGCACGGTCTAGCTAGAGACAATTTGTAGCACCTAGATGTGGTCACATGACCAAGCTCTTGCCAAAGGAATGAACACAAGTGGGTGTCACAAATACAACTACTTGTCATTTCTTTACAAGAAATTACTTGCTTTTACTTTTCTCTTTCCCTCTTGCTACAAGATGCACATGTAATGCTGAGACAGTTTTTTTTAAATTAAGCAGGTAAGGGCAGTAAGTGATAGGTCAAAACAGAAGGAACCCAGGACTCCAGAGCTTATCTTCCTGCCCCTGAATTATTTCAAAAGAAGGGAATAAATGTCTATATTATTTGAGCCTGTATTTCACTTAGTACAATTAAAAAATCTTTGAAAGATGTGTTTCTTAAGAGCCTGGTAAGTTGAATAAGCCTCATAACTTTGTTCTCTGAAATATGAATGGAAGAAATTTCTCTAGAGGAAAAAAAAAAATATATATATATATAACTACAAGAGAAATAACTGGGAGTAATAAGGAACCATGCTAGGACTTAAAAGTGTCCTAAAGAAGACCTCCAGGTGATGTGCAGCATTTAAATAGAATCAGAGATGACATCCAAAAGCAAAGATGTGCTTTCAGACATAAAGATGTCTCTGAATGAGAAGTCTCTTCATTAAGAAAAACACATTTTAAACTTAGAACTTTATATAACTGATTATAATGACTTTAACAACATACAAAATATTATAAATAACATAAACAATGGAGTCTGGCAGAGGCAAACAAAAGCTCTTGCAGCTTTATATTATTTTGTTGACTTACGTTTCATGGGTGCCAAAAAAGAAGATAGGGTATTTGTTTGCTGGAGGCTTCACGGCTCCCTCTGGGAGTTCATCAATCTATTAAAGATAAAGGTAGTTATTAAATTATTACTGCAAACAATATAAACATTGTTTTGGTTTTTGCTAATAAAATTAATCAAATGCATAATTGTTTTTCTTTTATTGAACCTAACAAAATGACTATAAAGGTTATGTTTGGCTTACCATGTAAAGGTTAAAATTGTAAGTTTGTTATGATCATTATGGTAATTCATTGGCAGGAGCCAAAACTACTCATTTTCTTTGACCCAATAAAATTACTCTTGGGGGTTCTGTCCTAGTGAAATAATTAAGCTACAACAGTGAAAATGTTAAAAGTACGTTCTTTTTCAAGTAAGAGTGAATTTATATATACATATGTATCTAGAAATATACATATTACAAGATTGAAAAATTAATGTGCTAAATATATGTGGTCATTAAAAGATATCATCTCTTGGCTGGACTATTACAACCCTCTACTCCCACCCTAGAATTAGCTTTTAAAATGTACATTTGGTTATATCACTTCCTTGTTTTAAACCCTTCTATAGCTTTTCACTGCATATAGCATTCCTAGCCGTGTAGATGTTACCTCTGGAGCATTAAGAAACAAACATAACTTCACTCTTTATCAAATCTACCAATTCTGATTTACTGCTGAGGATGAGGACGTTTAATAGGATAAAGTCCATATTCCTTAGAATATCATATAGTTACATGTACATTATTAGTTACAATGTTTCAAAACATGGTCCTTGACTAGTTCAAATTCCTGTAACTCTTCTCTTCCCATGTCATAATTCAGAAATATGAAACTACATGGAATTGTTTATGAGCATACTAATTTCTTTTACAGCCATCTCTGATGGTTGAATTTTCATCTTTTAGACATATATTGTTTATTTATAAAACTGAGTACTTATTTACAGTTAAAAAACAAACAACAATTGCCAATATTTTGCTTCTGAGATTTCTTTAGGCAACGTCTCAAAAATGCTTTCTAGGGGCTGGGGATTTAGCTCAGTGGCATAAGTGCCTGCGTTGCAAGCAGGCAGTCGTGAGTTCGATCCCCGGTACCGATAAAAAGGAAAAATGCTTTCTAGGTACAATTTCACCTCCCTTCTCTTCCTGGAACGCTCTTAATTCAGATTTCACAGGGGTCTAGCAAGTGAGAGGCCCTGAACTGAAGCTTTGCTAGCTTTATGGTAAATCTACTTGATGGCTGTGTTACTTTTTCGGAAGGCCTGATCTGGGAACAAGTCCCGACTCTGAATTACTGGCTTCTGATCTTGGGCTAGTCATTCAACTGCGGTTTCTTCATCCCCTCACATGTAGTTAATGACACACATCACTCACTGAGTTGCTGTCACCAGTACATGGAGGGCAGTTTAGAATTCCTTTATTGAGCATACAGCAGGTGCTCAATAAATGACAGGTAGTTGTTACTGTTATTTATTACTATACAAGCTCCCAAAAAAAGGGGTGCTCTTATACTACCCAGCTCCTGCTGGCTTACTTCTGACTTTTTCTTTCTTGTTTCTACCTGCCTAGTACAGTTCAGCAACACAGCATGGCTATATGCAAAGACACATTTTTGGTTTTGGTTTCTTAAGATAGGGTCTCACTATGTAGTCCAGGTTGGCCTCGAGCTCACTATTCTCCTGCCTCAGTCTCCACAGCACTGGGATTACAGGCATGTGCTACCACACTCAGCTAGAGAGACATTTTTTGTATCTATTCTTGTAAAATATATTTTTATTGGTGCATATTAATTTTATAAAATATTGGATTTCAATGTTTTTTTTTTGGTACTGGGGATCAAACTCATGACTGCACACTTGCAAGGCAGGCGCTTATGCTGCTGAGCTAAATCCTCAGCCCCTCAATGTGGTATTTTCATATCCATATACATTTTGATCCTATCCTTCCTCTCATTACTCTCCTTTATACCCCTCTAACCTCACCTACTTACTGTCTTCTGCTCGTCTAGTATCTCCCTTCTACTTTCACATAATCTGTGTTTAGATTTCACATATTGAAAAATCATAATACTGAGTCTATTTTATTTCACTTAACACAATGCTTTCTAGTTCCATCCATTTTCCTACAAATAACATAATTAGTTTTTCTTTATGGCTGAATAATACTGCATTGTAAATATATATAAATATATACTTTATAATGTATTATATATAGTTAACACATTTTATTGAGTCACTTATCTGTTAATGGGCACTAGACTGGCTCCCTATCTTGGTTACTGAAAACTGTGCCACATGTAGGTATCCTTATAATATGCTGAATTTAATTCCTTTGGTTATATACCCCGGAGTTAGGTACAGGTGGGTTATATGGTAATTCTATTTTTATTTTTTGATGACTCTCCATACTGATTTCTATTGTGGCTGTACTAATTTATATTCCCACCAACAGTGTAGAAGTATTCCTCTTTCCCCATTATCCGTGCCAGCTTTTACTGTTTTTCGTATTCTTGATGATAACCAACCCTGACCGGAGATAGAATCTCAATATAATTTTGATTTGCAGTTTCCCTTATGGCTAAAGATGTTGAACATTTTAAAAATATAATTATTGGTTATTAGTGTTTCTTTTGAGAATTATCTGTCAATTCATTTGTCTTTTATTGATTTGTTTTTGGAGTTTAGCTTTTTGAGTTTTTTATATACTTTGGATATTAATCTTCTGTTGGAAGAGCAGCTGACAAAAATAAAAGACATATTTTTAAAAAACTGCCCCTTTTGTGAAGCTTTACCAGACCGTGCACATTTTCACTGCTATGACTGAATTTTGTGTATGCTTCCATGGCTGTATTTTTTACCTAGTACTACTCTATTTTCAATTTATTCTCTACCAGATGATGAAATTCTGAATGTGGAAGTCATATTTTATTAAAAATTCTATCATTCCTCCTATGGCTTGGATATGGTTTAGGCTATGTTCCTCAAAAGTTCATGTGTTGGGAACCTGGTCCTTCCTGTGGCAATGTGAAGAGAAGGTGAGACCTTTAAGAGGTAGGTTTACATGAGAGAAATGCAAATTAAAATAACACAGATTTCACCTTACTCCAGAAAGAATAGCTATCATCAGGAAAGCAAATAAGGAAATGCTGATAAGTCTGAGGAGGAAAAGGAACCCTTCTACATTGTTGGTGGGAGTGTAATTTAGTACAACCAATATGGAAATGAGTATGAAGATCCCTTAAAAAACTAAAACAAAATTCCATTTCATTTAGCTATTCCCCTCTGTGTTTCTTTCCAAAAGAGCTAAGGACACATTACAATGGCACATGCATATTCATGTTGTAGCACCATTTGTAATAGCTAAATCTTGAAAGCATCCTATATAACCACCAACAGTTGAATGAATAGTAGTACATACACACAATTAAATATTGCTCACACATAAAGGATAAATTCAAGTAGTTTGTAGGAAAATGGACATATCCTTCACATAATGTTAAATGAAATAAATCAGACACACAAACACAAATATAGCATGGATTTCATTATGTGAAAAATCCAAAATATAATTTTAAAAGAAAAATTAAAGATAATATGGACTAGGAAGACAGATTTCCTACAATTGGAAAGGTAAACTAGAGATAGGGCTGGGGGTTGTAGAGGAGGAAAAAAAATAACAAGAGATATTAAAAAAATTAAGATGTGTATATACATGTACCAAACCTCCATGATAAATGTAATCAAGATGTACAAATAAACAAAAACAGAAGAGGGCCTAGTTGGAGGCTGTTAGGTCATTGGCAACATGCTTTGGGAAGGGGTTAAGGTACTTTTCTTAGGACCCAAGTTCTTGTGAAAGAGAGCTGTTAATAAACATCAAACATCTGAGTCCTTCTCTCCTTCATGTTTTGTCATGTGATCTCTCCCTCTTCTACATGTCCCACTATTATGCTGTCTGCCACAGTGTGAAAAAAGCCCAAAGAGAGTGTATGCCACGCCTTCTGGACTTACAGCCTCTAAAAGTTTGAGTTAAATAAGCCTCTTTCTTCTACAAATTACCCAGCATCAGGTTGGCTGTTATAGTCACAGAAAATTGACTAATATACCTATTATCTAGAATAATCTCTGACACGCAATGATTTTAAATCTTTGCTTTTATAATATTAAAATTTCACTCATTTAAAAATGTGCCAGTGTGAAAAGTTCCATGGTATAAAAATGAACAATTTATACACAGCATGATTACAATTACATATACCTATTTCTATAGATAGGGACTAGAAGGAAATATGGAAAATGTAAATATTAAGTGTGAGCTAAGTGGTATTAAGGAAGAAATTTTTTCTCTTTAAATTTCCTTTTGTTGTCATAGTTATAATTTGTAAGGGAATAAATTCATTCTTATGTGGAAAACATTACAATTACCATTTTATATACAAAACTTGATATTTCTTTGCTGCTGCTTTTTAATCATAGCCCTAAAGTTAAAGACACAGATCATTTCATTGAGAAGTTAAGAACTTTTCCTCAAGATATTTATGATTATTTAAAGTTCTGAGCAGAATTTCTGCTTCTGAGTGTGACACTGTATGTGGTACCAAACTAGTCTGTGGGCTGTGAGCAGCCTCAGAGCTAGCCAAGTAGACCAGCTGTGTGTTCCTCAGCAGAGCACAAGACTACAGTGCCCAGGAAAAGGTCACTGTCAGAGAGATTCATGATTTCCCAACTCACTGCCTTGGGACAATTCCATACTGTGATTCAGCAAGCTTGATTCCAAGCAGAAATGATAAAGGTGAGTAGAATCTGAAGCAGAATCAGGCACTGGAGTAGCTGAATTGACTGAATTCTATAGATGGGCTCTGAAAAGGATGAAGTTCTATACCCAGGAGTCCCAGAAGTCTGTGTGGAGAGTCCCTATGAGTTTTTGACTAGAAGTAGCATATCAGAGTTTAGTTGCTATGGGGAAAAAACAGAACAGAGATATTAAAAATTAACTTGTTCAGAAAACTTTGGAGGTGCAGCCAAAGTGAAGAAAGCTTTTAAGCACCTCCTTAG